ACATGCTACCTGCGTGGGTGAGCCGAAAATTTGGTATCATGGAAAACTTCAAACATGCTAGAGATATTTGATATATCCCCCTTTCTGCCGTATTAATGGCGTTGGTGTTAAACATATACTCCAAGGATTTGTCCTTTTGACTGGCTTTGTACCGCGGAGTATGATATGTGCTAAGCAGAAGGCATAGAAAAGAAGCAGCAGGAAATCTGCTGCCCCCCCATTCATTTACTGAATTTTTGACAGTTTGTAAACTGGCTGCTATAGCATGCGTATTTTTGAACTCACCGGAGCGCCTGAGGTCACATTGAGGGGAAATGGTTTGAATTCCAACAGTGTTTCTTCCGGAACTGGATTATCACTGCCCATACTAAGTGACATTGATTTGTATATAGGAAAATACCATGGCACCTGCTCCCATCTACCATACAAGCTGTCCGGGTTCAGACAGGACACTTAATTCAGTTGTGAATACCGATTTTGTTGGAGGCGAGTGATCAGGGGGAAGGGGGATCATATCAGGTAGAAGAATGTACTTGTTTTGCAGCTATATCAATATGTGTGAGCGAGTGAGGAGAACATAAAAAATCGGTACTGGCTTTTGCTATCAACGCCTTGCCAAACAAAAAAGACCAAACAGAGAAGGATTATGCGCAATAACGCATTTCACAAACAGTGATCTGTCTCTTGACCTCCCGTCCAGTCAAATGACACCAAGGAATAATATGAAGCAAAGTAGTTCGGGTTGGTCTGGTAAGTTGGTAAATTCGATGAAAACATGTTCTCCGTTCCGCAAAAAGCCTATATAGTAGGAAGCAGCAGGGCCAGCCGGTACTTCTAAGTCAGGGCATGTGTGTTGGGCAACACCATCAAGGCAGCAATCGAGAGAATCTGCCAAAATAACGGTTGAGCTGCGGTAAACTAGAAGAATTGTAGCGTGGGAGAAAACTTGCCAAGTGTTTGCAAACGCAGCGGCACCGGTGCACACATTGTTTGAGAATGTACTCAAAAAATAGTCGGATCAGGGCTCATGCTCCTCACAAAGTGCTTTTTGTAACATATTTTCTAATATGCCCTGAGTTAGTATATCCAAGGTGCGTTGTTGTGTTAAATGGTGTAGCCCGTGATTGACATAAAGGAAGCTGCACCATTGATATGGCCTATGTTGGGGTAAAAAAAGTAACCGGATAAAGGAAATGTGTAAACTTGGAGAGGTGTTATTTGAGCATTTTGTGAATGGAAATGGGAAGATAGGAGAAAAGGAAAGAAATGGTGGGAGTATGGAGAGGCGGGGGAACGTTGGATAGGGACCGAGGGGGGCAAATTTTTAAAGTGTACTTTTGTAGAGAATTTGTATATGGCAGTAAGAAATGATTTTTCTCTTCCGCAATGCTCTCTTGGTGAGAGATTGAAAGAGATGAAGTGGGAGGGAGGGGGGGAGGGGGTATTTATACTCCTGAACGGCCAAATTTTGGGAGGATATTTACCCCACTGAGAGCATATTCCCTCCCACTTCCTGCGGCCGAGAGGTATCTTACGATATTGTAGACTGGTGGTGATGTGGAAGCTGACATCCCCTTCAAGATAAGATTCCCTCATCAAATAAAGATTATCCCAGGTGGGAGGGTCCAGTTACAAAACAAGCAACTTTTGCATTTCGATACCTCGAAAGAGCAATCCTGATGCCAGGGAAGACCCGGTTTGGCCGAGCACATGATGTAATCTCCAACATTCCATTGTAGGAAAAAACACAGATTAAAGAAGAAGAAATCTTTTTACCGTGTTTCGTCAGGATAAGGTCGAACATGGGAAAAATGAGGACAGGAATCACCCCCCTCTTGGTTTATACATCCTCCCATCCCAGTAATGCTCAGTCACCAATTCATGTTCGTTTTCTTGGTCTAGTTTTCCCTTGGTCGAGCGTCAAATATTTTTGAGACACAACGCCGGTGTTCGCCCGTCAGGAGAGAGGTGTTGTCCGTCAAGGAAGGCAATTGAGAATGTGGAAATGAAGAGAGGTAAAGACTTGTGAGACAGAGAGGCTGTTGGAGATAAAGACAGTGGCTTCTTAGGAATGCAATTGACTTCGTTCTTGTTTATTTCTCCAGTGCCTGAGACCGCCATACTTATACCCATCAGAGGTTTCTATATACAGTGTTCCAAGTCCCGATTTGCCATACTCAACATGCTTCCGTCACATTGAAGTAACTATTTCAACAGGAGGTTTGGAAAATGGCATGAGTGATAATCTATGAGACAACTGTGATTCTAGTAGTACGATAGCAAACAAATCCCTTTTCACAATCTCTGCAGCTACGGAGTGTTCCGGAAACAACCCTTTACCCACAGTAAAATCTACTTGCAGTATTCCTAACAGTCTGGTCTGTCTTTCTCTGAAGTAAAAGGGGAGAGATTATGGACCACTGTCTACATGTTTTCAGGTATCGAAAATGCTTGACTGGCTGTACTCGCGCCCTTTCCGAGGCAGAAGGCATATTTATCTACAATTCAATCTTCTAGACTCTCTACCCAGCTTGTCTGTTTGGTCCTCGGGGTGCACAGGACAGGTCTTATGATCCATCCCTTATGAGTAATAAAAATAATAACTGTCCGGAGTAGTAAATCAACGATCACTGTTATGGGAGGGGGTAAGGTCTGCCGTCACAGACTATCACTCAGCCAAAACAAAATGCCAAGGCTTTCAGGTGGCAGTTAACTAAAGAGGGGTATGAAAAACTTTCTCTCTCCTATTCTCTCTCTCTCTCTCTCTAACCACTTGCTTCCTCAACAACTCACTTGCTTGACAACTCGCTAATCCATGACACTAACTAAACTAATAGGAAAAGACAGGAGTATAAATAAACAACAATGATTACCTATTCTTCCTCTCCTCCCTTTCTCTTCCACCTCATACAGGTATCTCCCCCACTCCATTCCATTCCATGTACTCTTGTGCTAACTAAAGAAAGAACAAACAAACAACAGGCTCTCCAAAGACTCTCCAATATCCTTCTGCACTCCTACTACCTTCCTTGCTGATCCTGCTTCCCACACTAACAAAGGAAATGCTGGAACAAAGACTATGACGCCCGACTGCTACAACTTCTCTGACATTCACATCCCTCTCTGCTGGAAGTGCATTTCCATAGTGCATAATGAGAATGTCCATCATAACAAAGGAAGTGGTGAGAGGAGAACAAACAGATGGGAATAAACAAATTGACAGATGAGTGGATGGGTAGTGGTACTAGCACCTTGATAGGGTAGTGGAGAATAAACAGGCAAACCAATGAACAAACAAATTAATGGATAGATGGATGAGTGAGTAAATGATGGGTAGTGGTGTGAACGGCATACTGAGTATGTTGGACGGTGGTTGGTGGTTGTGAGTATAGCCGGTGATAGTGGACATGGTAAGTAGATATTTTCAACACTCCCATTCTGTGAGCCTTGCTTAAACATAAAAGTAAAGATAAAAATAAAAATAAAAATAAATAAAAAATAAAAAAGTAAAAAGCTTTTAGTCTTGCATATGCCTCTACTCAATGGTTCCCATCTCTGCCTAATGCTACCTCTCCTATGGAGCTGAATGATGCACTGCTCTCCTATTTCTTTCTACTAAGACTGCCTGCTTTCTGTTCGCCCATTCTCAGGGCTTTTAGAGACACCCCCCCTCTGTTGGCAGAAGAAGTAGCCGCCATACTCAGTAAGTCCTCCCCCTCCATGGCCCCCGGACCTGATCTCATACCCTATGCGGTATAGAAGAAGAACAATGTGGCCTTCTCCTCTTTACTGGTCAAGCTCCTCTCTCCCTTAGTTTCGTTTGGCTTCCACCCAGTATCGCTCAAAATGGTAAATGGCGTAGTTTTGGATAAGCCTGGTAAGCCCTCATATGATACTTCAGCCTCCTTCCGCATAATTGTCCTCCTGGAAACAGTTTTCAAAATTCTGGAAAGGATAATGGTGAACCGTCTCTCCCCACTGGCGAGGTCTCTTGGCCTGCTCAACTTATACCAGTGCGACTCTCTACTGGGTCTCTGCATCTTTGATGCTTGCACTCTCCTTGTCCATGAGGTCTAAACACTCCAGCGCTCGCAGCTTGTGGTCTTCACCCTCTTTCTTGACATTAAGAAAGGTTTCAATAATGTCTCCCCCAATAACCTCTTCCATATGCTATGCTCCAATAGCATTCCCCCTATCTCTGTTCCTGGACTAGGTCCTTCCTAACAGGCACACAATGCTGTCTCATTTTCCAAGGCTCTCCCAGGGTTTTCAAACCAGTTCAGGTTAGCACCTTACAGGGCTTACCTATTTCACCACTCCTATTTGTTATCCATGTTTTCTTCCTTCATTTCCCAGTACTATGTGGGTTGATCCTATTATATGTGGACAACTT